AGAGGCGTCTTCCTCCTCCTCCTGTGAGATTGGCAAGTACAGCTGTGGTCAAGCATAACCCCAAGTACGCCAAGGTCAATATGGTGAATGCAGCTCAGGCAGAGGATTCATCAGATGTCATCATGGGTAACCTTCCTGTTAACGATGTTCCTGCAAAAGTTCTTTTTGAAACTGGTGCATCGCATTGTTTTATCTCAAGACCTTTTGCATCTAAGCATGGGTGGTTTTCTCAAGTTATCCATAAGCCATTAACAGTGGTCTCTCCGGGTAGATGCTTGCTTGCTAACTACGAAGTTCTGGATATTTCTATCTCGATGGGTGATTTCAAGTTTCTGGCTTCTCCAATGATGCTTGGTAACTCGGATATTGATCTTATTCTCGGAATGGATTGGCTTTCTAAGCACAAGGCTCAGCTTGATTGTGCAGCCAGGCAGATTCAATTGACTCATTCGTCTGAGGATGTAATTGTCTTTGCTGCTCGGGATAATACTATCCGTCTGTTTTCTCTCAATGAGAAGGGTGAACTCGATGCCATCTCGCAAATTCCAGTCGTTTGCGAATATCAAGACGTCTTCCCAGAAGAGCTTCCAGGAATGCCTCCGCACCGGCCAGTTGAATTCGTTATTGATCTTGAGCCCGGCACGGAACCTGTGTGCAAGCGTCCTTACAAGCTCGGACCTGAAGAGTTGAAGGAGCTGAAGAAGCAACTCGATATTCAAGAGAAAATGGGTCTCATCCGGCCTAGTTCTTCTCCGTGGGGTTGTGGTGTTCTTTTTGTGAATAAGAAGGATGGAACGGACCGACTTTGTGTTGATTACCGTCCATTGAACAAGAAGACCATCAAGAACAAATACCCACTTCCCAACATCAATGAGCTGTTCGAACAACTCAAAGGTGCCCAAGTATTCTCCAAGCTTGATCTTCGTATGGGTTATCATCAGATTCGAATCCGTGATCAAGATATTCCAAATACGGCTTTCAGGACAAGCTATGGTTCATATGAATACACTGTCATGTCTTTTGGCCTCGTCAACGCTCCTCCGACGTTCTCTCGCATGATGAACTTCATCTTCAACGCCTACACCAATGACTTCATTTTGGTCTATCTCGACGACATTCTGGTTTTCTCGAAGAACAAGGAAGATCATGCCAAGCACTTGCGTTTGGTACTCGATAAGCTGAGGGAACACCAGTTCTACGCCAAGTTCTCCAAGTGCGAATTTTGGCTCGATGATGTTCTTTATCTTGGTCATATCATCTCTGCCAAGGGCATTGCGGTGAATCCTGAGAAGGTGTCTGCAATTGTGAATTGGGAACCTCCTCAGAACGTGAAGCAACTCCGTAGCTTCCTCGGTCTCGCAAGCTACTGTCGAAGATTTGTTGAAAACTTTTCTAAGATCGCGAAGCCTCTCCCAAATCTTCTCCAGAAGCACGTCAAGTACGTTTGGTCTCCGGAGTGTGACATTGCTTTCAACACTTTGAAAGAGAAATTGATCACTGCTCCAGTTCTCACTCCGCCTGATGAATCCAAGCCGTACGAGGTCTTTTGTGATGCCTCTCTCCAAGGTCTTGGCGCAGTATTGATGCAAGGGAAGAAAATTTTTGCTTATACCTCTCGCCAGTTGAAGCCCAATGAGAAGAACTACCCCACTCATGATCTCGAGTTGGCGGCAGTTGTGCATACTCTTTTGACTTGGAGACATCTCTTATTGGGAAGAAAAGTGGACATTTTCACTGATCACAAGAGTCTCAAGTACATCTTCACTCAGCCTAATCTCAACCTCAGGCACATTCGGGCGGTGTTGCTGGTCTTGTTTTAACCTGTCGAAGTGTCTTGAAGAACCGAGATACCGAGTCTAATCGGAACGTCTCGGGAGGAGGTCTATTCCTTCGTTGACCGTGAGAGCTTGTCATGGGCTAAGTTGGGACTCCCCTGCAGGGATTTGAACTTTCGAAAGCCGTGCCCGCGGTTATGGGCAGATGGGAATTTGTTAATGTCCGGTTGTAGATAACTTGAACCTTAACTTAATTAAAATGAATCAACTGAATGTGTTACCATGATGGCCTCTTCTCGGCGGAGTCCGGGAAGTGGACACGGTGTTGGAGTAATGTTTGTGCAGGTTGTTCTCTAGTTTCTTGCTCGCGCTTAGCCTCCTCTTCTCGCTCTCTTTTGCGAATAAGTTAGCCACCACATATGCTAGTCGCTTGCTGCAGCTCCACCTATATTTTTACCTTGCCTTACCTATAAGCTTAAATAGTCTTGATCGCGAGGGTGCGAGATTGCTGAGTCCCTGTGGCTCACAGATTACTATTACACCAGATGCAGGGCCTGATGATTCCGCTCCAGGTGACGCGCTTGAGCTCAAGTGGGAGTTCGACGAGGACTCTCAACGTTACTATGTTTCCTTTCCTGATGATCAGTAGTGGTGCCCAGTTGGGGGTGATCGGGACCGTGTCGCATGTTGGGTTATCTTTTATTTTGGCGCCGTAGTCGGGCCATGAGTGTTTGGATGATGTAATGTTATTTATGTACCTTGATTGACGTGGCGAGTGTAAGCCAACTATGTTATCTCCCCTTTTATTATCTATATTACATGGGATGTTGTGAAGATTGCCTAACTTGCGACATATGCCTTCAATGCGATTATGCCTCTAAGTCGTGCTTGACACGTGGGAGATATAGTCGCATCGAGGGTGTTACAGCACTTCACTCCCCGGCAATGGCGCCAGAAAAGAGTCTTGATGACCCACAAGTATAGGGGATCTATCCTAGTCCTTTCGATAAGTAAGAGTGTCGAACCCAACGAGGAGCAGAAGGAAATGATAAGCGGTTTTCAGCAAGGTATTCTCTGCAAGCACTGAAATTATAGGTAACAGATAGTTTTGTGATAAGATAATTGGTAACAAGCAACAAGTAAGAAAAGTAAATAAAGTGCAGCAAGGTGGCCCAATCCTTTTTGTAGCAAAGGACAAGTCTGGACAAACTCTTATATGATGTAAAGCGCTCCTGAGGACATATGGGAATTATCGTCAAGCTAGTTTTCATCATGTTCATATGATTCGTGTTCAGTACTTTGATAATTTGGTATGTGGGTGGACCGGTGCTTGGGTCCTGTCCTTACTTGGACAAGCATCCCACTTATGATTAACCTCTATTGCAAGTATCCGCAACTACAACAAAAATATTAAGGTAAACCTAACCATAGCATGAAACATATGGATCCAAATCAGCCCCTTACGAAGCAACACATAAACTAGGGTTTAAGCTTCTGTCACTCTAGCAACCCATCATCTACTTATTACTTCCCAATGCCTTCCTCTAGGCGCAAATAATGTTGAAGTGTCATGTAGTCGACGTTCACATAACACCACTAGAGGAGAGACAACATACATCTCATCAAAATATCGAACGAATACCAGATTCACATGACTACTAATAGCAAGACTTCTCCCATGTCCTCAGGAACAAACGTAACTACTCACAAAGGATATTCATGTTCATAATCAGAGGGGTATTAATATGCATATAGGATCTGAACATATGATTTTCCACCAAATAAACCAACTAGCATCAACTACAAGGAGTAATTAACACTACTAGCAACCCACAGGTACCAATCCCGGACTTGGAGACAAGAATTGGATACAAGAGATGAACTAGGGTTTTGAGAGGAGATGGTGCTGGTGAAGATGTTGATGGAGATTGCCCTCTCCCGATGAGAGGAGCATTGGTGTTGATGATGGCGATGATTTCCCCCTCCCGGAGGGAAGTTTCCCTGGCAGAACAGCTCCGCCAGAGCCCTAGATTGGTTCCGCCAAGGTTCCGCTTCGTGGCGGCGGAGTCTCGTCCGAAAAGATGGCTTATGATTTTTTCCTCATCGAAAGACTCCACATAGCAGAAGATGGCCATCGGAGGGCCACCAGGGGGCCCACGAGGTAGGGGCGCGCCCAGGGGGGTAGGGTGCGCTCCCGACCCTCGTGGGCAGGGTGTGGCCCCTTGGTGAATTTCTTGCGCTCAGTATTTTTTATATATTCTAAAAATGACTTCCGTGAGATTTCATGACTTTTGGAGCTGTGCAGAATAGGTCTCTAATATTTGCTCCTTTTCCAGCCCAGAATCCCAGCTGCCGGCATTCTCCCTATTTATGTAAACCTTGTAAAATAAGAGAGAATAGGCATAAGTATGCATAATGTGTAATAACAGCCCATAATGCAATACATATTGATATAAAAGTATGATACAAAATGGACGTATCAGTGGACGAGTGGGAGTGGGCGTGGGCTTTCTTTTCTCCGCGGGTCGGGAGGACCTCCGCGCGCCTTATATAGGGCGGGCCGTGATCCAAATAACTATTTGGATCCTGGGATTATAATAGTAACGCTAAACTAAGCGTGAGTGTAGAATAGCTTATTCTACACCCCAGTAACGGTACATACAAAATATAGTAACACATTATGTAAAATATAGTAATTTTCATAAAAATGAAGTAAATTACAAACATAAGTAGTAAAAAATATATTTTCCTAATTACTATATTTTATACACCGTTTTACTAGGTTTTGTATATAGCGTTACTAAGGGTGTAGAATAAGCTATTCTATGCTCAAGCTTAGAATAGCGTTACCCTCTCTCTCTGATCCTATAGAGAGAGACACTATTCTGATCTTAGGATCTTCTGATCATGGCGCCCCTATATAGATGGGAGTGACATTTCCCGAAATTCCAAACCGGTTGACCGAAGGACAAAAACACAGCTACCTCTAACCTCCCATATCTCGTGCCTTCTGGACATCCTCCCCAAATCGCCGCCACATCTCCCGCTCGGCCGGCGCCCTTCTCCACGGCCGGCGCGCCACCACACCCACGCTAGCGCACATCCTCCCGCGTGGCCGGCGCCCCTCCACCCTCCTCCCACCGCCCCCGTGCCCAGCGCGCCACCTACTTTCCTCCCCAACGAACGGCGCGCCTCCTTCCGCGCGACCGAGGCACCTCTTCCGCCATGGCCGGCAAGCCTCCTCCCGTCTCCACCCTCAAATCCATCCACCGCAGGGCCCTGTAATCCCGCGTGATGTTCGCCGGGCCATGGATTCCCATGCGCTGCTGTAGGGCCCTGGATCCCAAGCGTCGCCGCCGTCGGGGTCCTGGCTCGTCTACCACATTACCCCTGGGACCTCGGCTCCCTCATGCGTCGCAGGCCCCCCCACACGCCGCCGCAAACCGCACCACCACATCGCCGGCGCTTACCCTCTTCCCCGAGCTCCCCCGAGCAACCGTACCCCGGATTCACACCTCGCTGGACTACGGGGCTCATGCCACAACACCTCCCCTCCCCCAAGTTCGCGCGCCACTACACGAGCTCCTTCCCCACCGCCGGCCAACTGCCGCCGCGTTCCTAGGCACCGCTATCGCGCCTGGACTGCAGGGACGGCCGAATCCGACCTTCCCTGGCATCACCTTTCTTCGTTCTCTCATGTGGCTAGTTTGTTGAGCAGCGCTGGTCTTTGTACCATGGTCCTTGTTTTATTTTGCTTCAGAATTATGTTCGCGTCTGAATTTTTGTGCTGGATTCAAGAAGCAACAGTTCACAGGCTCCACTGCTGCTAAATCCCCATGTTCCATGTCGCCTGCTTGTGTGTACCTGTCAATGAAGGGAAAACTGACATGGGCAAAGTTATATCTATAGGCAGAAGTTCGGAAAGAAGATGGAGTGTGGCTCAATTTCTTCTAGAATTTTTAATTCTCGTTACAAAAAGACAGTTTGGGAAAGAAGAAGAAATTGCAGGCTGCTGTCTTGTTTGATATTCGGTTGTTTTGTGCCTTTTTTGTTCTCCATTCAGCTCAAAAGCTTGTGTCTCTAGAATCCTACACTCTATCGCTCGGCAGGTCACGACCTCCTCTAGATGCAGGTTGTGGTGTCCATGTTGTCACTTCTCCAGCATACCACGCTTCCATACATGATGGTGAGTGCCACCCTCCGGGCTCCAATTTGTCGCCGCCACAGGACACCCCTCGATGGAAATTTTTGGACTGCAGCAAGACGGAGCGAGGCAGTGTGTGCACTTGCTAAGAGTTGTCGACCAGCGCGCCTCAAACAAACTTCCTGTAGCATGTGTATGATTTTACCCACAATGATTTCTCTCAACATCATCTTGGGGGTTACAGACCTAAACAATGAACTTGCTTGTTGGCTGTAACTAATACTGACCACATTAGATTGTAGTTGTTCAAAAAAAAGACTAGATTGTAGTTTTTGCGTGTGACGTTGTTGCATCTTTGGATTTGTTGCACCGCAAAATAATTTTTTCCTCTTTCTAAGAAACTAAAAACGAAGCAATTCAAATTGAAAGCCCAAGAAAGTCCAAATTAAAAAATAGAGAAGTTCACTACTTATTAAAAACGAATTTCGCCCGTATCCACAAAAACCTTGAAGTTCAAATTTAGAAAATGGGGTGGTTTGGTGTCCATTTGAATATTTTCCTTTTACATAACAAAGTAAAAAAAATCCTTTTTTGAAAAACAAAAAACTAAAAAGGTCAAACTACAATAACAGAGAAGTACAAGGTTTAAAAACCCGAAATTTAGTGATTCTAGAAAACCAGGAAGTTCAAAAATAAAAAATGAACTTTTATAAATGGAATTTTTTTTCCATTTTACAAAAAAACATAGAATGTCAAATTAAGTTAATAGAGCGGTTCGATGTTCATAAAAAAGGAAACAAATCTCATTTCTAAAACAAATAAAAACACAAATAACCAAGAAGTATAGTTCAAACTAACCAAGAAGTTCTACGATGTTTATTACAAAAGTAATTTGTTTTTCTGTTACAAGTGAATAACACCAAGAAGTCCAAATTGAAGAAACCAGGAAGTTCAATTTTTGAAAATAGAATAGTTCAATGTATATGAAACACCCAAATTTTCCTTGCTATTATAAAAAACTAAGAAGTTTAATTTAAAAAATGGAGCAGTTCGACATTTATTACAAAAACTTGAATGTTTCCCATTACTAATGAATAAACCAAGAAGTTCAGTTCTAAATAACGAAGAAGTTCGACATTTACTAAAAAAATCCAATTATTCACATTTCTAAAATGCATAAAGAGGTTCAAATTTTTTAAAAGTAGAGCACTTCAAAATTCATAAAAAGGATTAAGAAAATAAAACTAGGAAGTCCAAATTAAGAAGATGGAGAAGTTCGATGATTATAGAAAACTCATTTTCCTCGTTATTAAAGAATGGAAACAAGAAGTTCAAAAATAAAATAACAAGAAGTTCAACTTTTAAAAATAGAGCGCTTCAAAAAATACATAAAAAAGGGTTAAGAAATTCAGATTAATATTCATAAAAAACTCAGATATTTTCACGTAACCGAGAGAAGTTTAGATTGATAACTGTCAGAAGTTCACGTACTACATGGTGTGCATTTTGTATTAAAAAATAAAAAAAGCAAGGACTAAAAGTTTTGTTGTTATAAATTCAAGTCCTCGGTCGGAGAAAACTAAAAAATTATTGTGAGAGAGGTTTGTACAAAAAGAATATCATTTGTGTAACACCGACGAAATGGATGAGAAAATTACAAACGAAAATACGTCACAGAAGCACAACGTGAAAACAGCACGAAGTTCGACTACTATAGTGAATGAATTTGAGATGAAAAACTTTTAAAATTGTCACGAGTATGAAAAAAACGATCAACACGGGAAAGTTGTGTGTTTACAACAGCTTTCCATCGGTATATCACTTGCTCAATTCCGGTGAGTGGATGAAGAGCTACGAGCAGCGGATGGAGATCTACAAGCAAAAAAAGCACGTGAAAAACAAAGGGAAGTTCAAGTAGACATGCCGAGAAGTTCAGGTTCTTCACGTGGTGCATTTTCGAAGAATCTGTTTCGCGGTAAAGGCAAAACGAATGATCTCGCCGTTTGCGAAATTGCTTGAAAACAACTAGGAATCACAGAAAACCATCAACATGAAAAAGTTTCGCATTTTACTTAGCTTTTCAACTGTATATTATTTGCCCCATTCGAATAAAGTTTGTAAAAATTACGGTGAAAATACATTTTTAGCCATTTTTAAAATTGACTTTAAACAGTAAAGAATTGGGAGAAACAATATATACCAAAAAGTTTTTGCATTTCCTCAAGCTTTCCAACACCGTATCATTTGCTGCATTCGGACGTATGGTTAAAAAACTAGATTGAAAATACGAATTCGGTGGAATTTGTACCATCTTTTAAATTACTGTTAAACCGTTCAAAATTCGAGAAAACTTTCTACAAGAAAAAGTAGCGCATTTTCATAAGCTTTCCAACGCCATGTCATTTGCCTCAATTGGATTAGCCGTTTAGAAATGACATCGAAAATACGATCTCGGTTGTTCGGTTTATGAAATTTTACAATTTTCCAAATTACAATTTAACCACAGGGAATTAGAGAAAACTTTCAACAAGTGGAAGGAGCGGTTTTGCAGCAGTTTCCCAACGCCATATTATTTGCCTCATTCCGATAAACGGTTTAGAAATGCGATCAAAATACGATTCACATTTTTTGTCTGAAGAAAAAACGGTTTTCAGAACTGCTCTTAAACCGCTTACATTTTGCAAAAAATTTAACTTGGGTCATGATACTGGTGTCCATAGCTTTCCAACGGTATATCGCAAGCTCCATTTGGGCAATGTTGGCGGAAGTTCAACCTAGCACTAGGAGAAGTTCAGGTCGAACAACTCAGGCAGTAAAATTGCAAAAAACACAATTTCATCATGAACCAAGAGCAAAATCCACCAACGAACGAGATTCCTATTTAAAACCGGTATTTAGTTGCTAAAAAATGTTTCTAGATTACACTAACATCATACAGAACACGACTAACAATAATAATTCATGGGGGAAGCCACGGTTGCGAAGATAGCGCGAAGGTCGGGTTCGTACAGAGGGAAGTTCAGATGCGTTACTCAGGCAGTTCAGGTTGTGATCAGAATATTATTCTGATCCTGTGATCAGAATTCTGATCACAACACCCGTATATAGGGCGACGAACATGTTCCCAAACAAAAAACTAGCGTGCCAAGCCTGTATCAAAAAAAGAAACCCACCCACCCCGACCCGCACGTTTCTAGCAGGACGTCACCGCCGCCGCCCCACCCCGTGCGCCGTCGCCCCCTCGTCCTCTGGCGCGCCGCCGCCCCCTTGTCCTCCGACGCGAGGCCACCCCCTCGTCCTCCTCCGGCGCGCCGCTGCACCCGCCTCTCCCGATGCAAGGCCACCCCCTCGTCCTCCGGTGCACCGCCGCCCCTGCCTTCTTTGGCGCGAGGCCACCTGCCCACCGCTAGCCTCCTCTTTGCCTTGGGTTGCTCCCACCACCGCCGTTTGCAAGTCACCGTCGGGACCCACGCTATCACCCTCGGCCACCTCCTAAGGCACCGTCGATGGCCGCGGATCTAAGCGCTAGCCGCTGGATCCAGCGGTTGCTCACGGTCGTTGTTGTGGTGGGCGCACGGCAGATGCCAAGGGATGGCTAAAGAGAGGAGGAGGCTCGAGAGCGCTGGTGGACTCCAGAGGCGAGGTTGGCATGTGCGGGCGCGGGACGCCGGGCATACCCAGGTTCGGGGCTCTCCGAAGAGATAATACCCCTAGTCCTGCCGAGTGTAGTTGGATGATCGATAGTACAATGTTGCTCCTGGAGCTGTATGGAGGAGGAAGGAAGCTGGCCAAGGCTTGGGCTGCTCCTTCTCTCCGGTGTTGCTGTTTTGTGGCTAGTCCTATGCTTACTTGCTTTTCTCTCGTATGTGTTTTCTGCTTGCCCTCTCGCTCTCCCCCCCGTATGATCGCGGGCTCCTGAGAGGTTTTATAGTCCAACCCCCCGGGGGTACAATGGTAATGTTACAAGTCAGTGGGTTCGTATTGTCGGTGTCCAGGGACCCGGGCTGGGTCCCGCTGAGGGCTTGTGGTTCGCCGGGTTCCCCTAGGTGCGGGCCCCGCATGCCTAGGGGGACTGTGCGTCGTCTTGTCGATCGTCAGGGCGTGGCCGAGTCGAGTTGTGTACAGTGCTCTCTGTCAGGTTGCCGCTTGCGGTCGTCAGCGGTGAAGGCGGGGGCACTATAGCCACGCCGGCCTTGGTCAGCAGTTAGGTGAGGGGCACTGTTGCCACATTCTTGCTGACTAGAGGCATGGGTGGGGCACTATTGCCTCGGTCAACGTTGATTGTAGTCTCGTCCCCATCATACGGCCTGGATGGGACGGGAGTTGACCCGCGGCTGGATTGCGTAGCATGCCACGGGTGGCGCTGGCTTGTTGAGGAGGCTTTGGTCATGCCGGGTTCGGCTGTCTTGCGCTAGTTGTTGGGGCCGAGTCGACGTGTCTTGCCGGATCGGCTAGTCTGGCCGGCTTGCGGGGCTTGG